CGAGGATGAAGATGAAAAGCCATTTGTTGTAGCCCACTCTTGAGACAGTTTGTCAGGGCCTCTTCAGCTCATTTAGAGCCTTTTCTTTCTTCGGCGGTCCTGCCGATGCCTGAAACTTACTTAAGACCGGGCTCGAGATTTCGTGCAATACGTAGTCTTCCAACAATATACGAATTGTTGAAAGAGCAAACGTGGTCATCTCGAGCGGGACGAACGTTTCGAAAGGGACCTGATCACGACCGCGAGCGCGAGAGAGCGACTTTAAGAGTCGCGCGATTCGAGGAGTCGAAAATAAAGCCGAAACAAACAGCACAAGTACACCGTTTGAATCAGCAACATTTCTACTCTCGAAATCGTAACTACAGGAACAGAACTGCCACGCGAAAACGCGCCTACCCGAATTACTAATGTGGACAGTCCTGCCCTGACCCTACCTACTTAGGTTTAAACACACACACCAGAGAATAAGTTACCTACCTACCTAACCCTATATTTAAAAAATTGCAAAACTCAATCTCACAAACAAACACTCCACGGTTCTCATTCTGAATGTCCGGGCGCGACCTAAACTAGAGAGGACTCCCCGGGGTTCCTCCGACACCCGGACACAACCTCATTCATACTCTAATTGTGTACGTACCAGTTTTTGCAGTGGACTGACAACGCTAGTGCCCATTGCGTACTTTTATTATTTATGTAAAACATTTTAATATATCTGCTATAGTCTTTATTAAAATATACTCTATATATGATCATATAAGATCGAAAAGCTAATTCATTATGCATTTTACAATATTATTGACGCGTATGCAATGCGAACAATTGCCAAGTAAATAATAACTATAAGTTTAATATTATTATTGTGATTGTTATGAATCCAATGTCAAAAAAATCTGTATCTGAATTGTAATAAACTTTTGCAACGATGCACTTCCACATCCTAACCACAAACACACATATGTGGACAGTACATCGTGCACGATACACTAGCATTGTCAGTCGCACGGATAAATTATTATTATAAATGTTACAAACTAAGTCATCGTGCCCCGTTGCCTTCGCTCGTGCAAATAACACTTGGGCATGTGCATGAACTTAGGCAACGAACACGGAAAAGTATCCTGAAAATCCTGACTAGAAAAACTGGTTATTAATAATTAACTAAACGGTATCTATTCTCAATTAAAATGACTCGACTTGTTATATGTAATGTATCAACAACAGAGTACGTTAATATCGAAAGATATTATTATCCAAGAAAAATTTGTGACTGAAATTTAATTGTTCAAAATGTAAGACTTTAATAAAGATTGCATGATAAAATAATTTACTTTGCAAATTGAAATAAATTTATTAAATTATTATTCAAAATATTCAATTAACCTTGGTCGATTCTGTCGTCAAAGTAAATTTTTAAAAAAATAAAATTAACATGCATGTTCCTTTGAGTTGAAAATCGACCATTCGCGAAACGCCTTCTTGCACGTAAAATACATCGTATGATGTATTAATCGATAAAACGAATATTTAATAATTATATTAATAATGTAAGATATTTTACTGAATCGTACGATTAATATAATGTTTTCACATTATATTAATTCATATTCTACTCGATTATATAATTCATATAAAGTTAATAAACATATTTCGTATATTTGATCAAAATTGTGTAATAATCATATTGCGTAATATTTATTGATAACATTAAAGAACGCGAGTGCAAGAAGACCCTAGCCTGCACTAAAAAAATATATCTCATGGGTATTTTTCATACCCGCGGTCACTTAACTCGTCAAAAATACTAAGTATACAACTGGTCACCCGTGTTGATTCGGATCTTTCATCCTACAACATGGTTGGGGACCAGAGGAACACAAATAGCATGCGACTCACGAGTGATGAACTTGTGCCTCTGGGATGACTGCATAATGATGCTGCTGCTGCCCGGTGGAAGTCATCAGAGCCCCCTGCATGGTCCTGCTATAAAAAAATAAGAAATCAATTATAATCTATTGTTAAAATTATAGAGATTTTTAATTAAAAATTTCAAAGTATAAATTTATACTTACGTTGTTCGCTCGTGGTCCACCGCCCGATACCCCCCCGGGTACTGCTGCTGGTTCCCAGGATCATGTTCAGAAACTGTAAGAAAACTGTAAGAAAACAATTAGAATCTATTGTCAAAACTGTAGAGATTTTTAATTAAAAATTTCAAAGTATAAATTTATACTTACATTGTTTGCTCGTGGAGCATCGCCCAATAGTCCTCTTCGGTGATGCACTGACTCTAATTCCGGTAACGAGGAGTTTAAATTTCAAATTGAAAAAATAATTAATTTGATTACAAAGTATTAAATTATATCACCGCGACCGAAGATTCAAATCGGCGTACAAATGATTCTACTATCGCGATTCACAAAACAGTAAGAGCCACGATGCTCTGGAAATAATTTAATACCGCGTAAGAAACACTGCTTCTATTCTCGCGTTTGTCTAACACCGTGAACGATAACGTGCTTGGGGTCACTTTGCCCCGAAAAACAAACTTGTTGCTACGCACAATCACCGAGTCTACCGGCCGCATTGCGCGCGGCCAACAAATTTCCTGGAAAGAAAAGAGCTGAAAAGAAAGGGACAGGAGACAAGAAATACAACAAGCACATCTGTGCTTTGCCTATCGATTTTTGTTTTTCTTCTTGCTAGAGTTCGACAACGAAAACACTGCTTTACTTAGTACTGTTGTATACATAGTTTGTCCCGTACAAAATCAATGCCACGAAGGCGAAATATTCTCGATCAATGAGAATTTCAACGATAAAATATTATCTACGAGAATAATTACGTACAAATAATTATTCAATTTATAAATATTATATCACTAAATTTCATAGTTAGAGTTGTAAGCATGATTATGTTTACTTCATCGAATGTGAGAATATCCGATAATTTTTATAAATATTCCGAAATTTGCAAAAATTAAAGTTCGTTAATTATTTATGCTTTAATAGCATATTCCAACTACGTGGTTTCTACGTTTTCTTAAACTTGCATCGAAATATATATGCAAATTGCAATTACAACGATTCATAAAGAAATAATAAACGATCAATTAAATAAATAACACTCGGAAATAGTTAATCGCGATCAGAATACAGTCTAATATAAAGTATTCCAATGTATCGTCAATATCTACCGACGCCATTTCTGTATACTTCGATATGTATCGAAGTAGATAAAAAGTTTGTTAATGATTTTAATATTTTATCTTAACAATGACCGATTATAAAATTAAAATCATGCTTGCAACGAACGTAATAAAGCTACAATAAAAATGTATAAATATTAATATGAATGTTAATTTTTGTTACAATTGTTTAAATGTTACCAATATTCCCTCCACAATTTGTCGACTCGTCTGCCATCTATTATGGTGTCCTTTACGCGCCAATAAAATTTCCTATGGCGTCGAATTTCAATCAGAGACTGCAACAGAAATAAAATACAAATTAAATCATAATTAAACAATGATTGATTACAATGAGGAAATAACAAAAGGTTAGGAATACGTACTTCGTTGGTCGCGAAACGCAGACACGTCTCGACAGGTTTCAACAAGTCTTATTATTCCTTGATTTCGAATTCCAATAAGAGACTGTAACAGAAACGAAATAACGATGCATTAAAGTACACAAACGATTGTTACAGTTAAGCAATGATTGAATCGAAACCGTATTGCAAGAGATAGTAATTAAAACGCGAGTAGTAAGGGTGGAAAGATCAACAGGTTAGAAATACGCACCTCGGTCGCGGAACGCCGATACGTCTCGACGTCAAAGTACGAATGATGGCCGCTCGCCGTGCTCGGCAATGCTCGGGAGTTAGGCGGCGTGGTGGGGGGAGCTCCGATATCTCGCGAAGCTTGCATTACGAACCCGAGAGATGCCTCGCGCAGAAACCGCGGATAGACTGATTTTTAGCAAATTATTTACAACTTTAAAGTGTAAACGAAACAAACGAAGAACTGTAAATTGGAAAGCGAAATAAGAATTGTTAAACAAGCACCGTGTGCTTTGCTATTCTTCTTTTTTGTTTCTAAATTTAATGTTATTTTGATATTAGAATTGTAACCTTACTGACTGAACTGAATTTGAAATATATTTGAATTTTTATAAATATTCTGAATATTGCAAAATTAAAGTTCTGTAAGTAGTCGTGCAATTGCGACATTTCGTAACAATAAATTTATAAAAAGTTAATTATAAACATGATGCCCAGAAAAATCAATCGCGATCGAAATACAGTAAAATGTAGGTAATTCCAATTTTTCACCCATACTACCGACGCCATTAGTAACTCATTATATCTTTTCTTATTTAATCTTAATACTGAATTGTTACACAATCACACAAACAACGATCGAACTTGAAATATGTTGCACGAAATTCTATATAATTATATTTAGAGGAATATAATGATGTTGGCAAAAATGCACGAAACCGATTCAACTTTCTTCACGATTTCGATTCAATTCGTAATAGAAATGTATTAATATTAAACGAAAGGACCGTTAGAGAGTGGCAGAGAGTAATAATAATTAAATGAAAAGCAATTAGATGTTGATAGCTAAAATATACGTACCTTATTATCTGTAAGACTGCAGTCTTACAAACACGTCTTGTCGCGCCAATTCCACGTTCCGAATGACGTCACCGTGAACTAGCAGCGACATCGCGAGCTAGGCGGTAGGTGGGTGAAAGTTTTCGACGTTTTTCCGAAGGAAAGAATAAGCCTTGAGTTTCGAATAATATTGTTGATATTTGTGCTCGAGAATGCCTCAGGTAGAAGTTACAACTGCAAAAAAAATAAAGCTGCTTTATTCATTAATGCAACTATAACAGGCTCGCCATATAGGGAATTATTTTGGTTCTGTTAAATTACTAAAGATATTTGAAAAAGAAAATTCGAACACCTTTCAAGCTATCTTACATTCTTGGTTCAAAGTAGTTGGTCGATAGATCGAATTGTTGTCGTATTTTTATGACAGTTTGTGACCGTGTCAGAGTCAGATAGAGTAAAGTGTAGACCCGTAAGTTGCCTAAGTTATTTATATTATATTTTATAACGTTGCAAAAATGCAACTACTCTATGTGGTACCTTTTAAGATACTTTTACTTGTTTCCAGACATGCTTGCGATGGGCGAACCTCTCACTTTAGCAAATGGTAACTATTATTATATACAGTCAGTTGCAAAAGCCTTCATACACCCCATAAAAATGGTACTTAAAAAAAAAAAATAAACACTAACTTCGTATAATATCATTTTTTGTGTGTTTATTAACTAGTAGCCTTAGATTCTAATTAGATAGAAATTAAATATGATATATATTCTTTTCATTTGTAGATGTTAAACGGTCCATAGAGTTACTGGATAAACTGCAAAAAGGTAATAAATTAGATGTATTATATAGTTAGAATTGGTGAATCAGTGTTTAATATTTGTTGAGAAATATATAACATAGTAAAAAACAAGTGAATGAATACTTTAATAATTTAAGAAGTAACAAAGTGATAAACTTGAAAGTATTGCAGTGTCCAAAAATTAAAGTAAGTAGATGTATGTTACACCATTTTGAAGAATTTTATCTAGTAATGAATTAAGTTTACACATAGACGTATATTGATTAGACATTTTGCTATTTTAGGAGGTGAAGTACCTGCAACAAAATTAGCTGCCTTACAAAAAGTTTTACAAAGTGATTTTCTCAGTGCTGTACGCGAGGTGTATGAACATGTATATGAGACTGTAGATATTCAGGTATTATACTTGCACAGATGCATTGTAGTTTATTCGATGCGACGCTAATATTAATAATTTCAGGGTTCTCAAGATGTGCGTGCATCAGCCACGGCAAAAGCTACGGTTGCTGCTTTTGCAGCGAGCGAAGGTCATGCACACCCGCGAGTTGTGGAATTACCAAAAACAGAGGAAGGCCTTGGTTTTAATGTAATGGGTGGTAAAGAGCAAAATTCGCCCATTTACATTTCACGAATTATTCCTGGCGGCGTTGCTGATCGACATGGTGGTTTGAAACGAGGCGATCAACTTCTGTCTGTGAATGGAGTGGTTAGTGTTATTTTTACAAACCAAATTTTTTTAGAATTTACTTTCTTACATTAAATTTATATGTTATTCTCTAGTGCGTTGAAGGAGAAAATCATGAAAAAGCAGTAGAATTACTGAAACAAGCACAAAACTCTGTGAAGCTAGTTGTGCGATATACTCCGCGTGTCTTGGAAGAAATGGAATTGCGATTCGATAAGCAGAGAGCAGCACGCAGTAGGCGTCAACACATGCAATAAATCTAAATACATATTACGTATTATTTATTTTCTAATGATCAACCACACATACATTAGAATCACCTTAATTTTACCTTCATTATTCATAAACCCGAAATTTTATCTATTTGAAGTTATAGATCATGTGCGACTTAAGTTTAATGAAATCTTACTATTATTGTAGCTATTGTTGTCGTTTATGTCTTTAAAATAATGTTGCATACAAATGTTATACAGCTTTAAAAAAAATCAAAGTTGAACAATAAAATGTGACCTGTTCCTTAATTTTATTCGATTACAAATGTTTGTGTAGTTTCTTGTGAATTTTTAGCCAATTGAACTTATATTTTTTCAAAATATTGGGCTTGGAAAGTTCGTTTCATATTTCCCAAAGTTTTTTTTTTCAAATTCGCACCTCTTGCTCCAGACCTGCTGACCTGCTTCGTGTTAGGAAACTTCTTATCAGCGGAGCATAGTACTGAACCGCTTATAACAAAAAATCATTAGTTTAGAAGATATTTTTATTGTAATATTATTGGCGATAGCCTTGCAAATTACGATATTATTAAAAGATCTACACTAATGCTTTTAATTCCTTCTTACACTGTAGTTCATCCTGTACCTCGTCTGTAATGTTAGGTCTATGACAAACAGGTTGCCAATGACAACCTCGTTTATGATGACACGAACTTTTATCGACTGTCAAATCCATTGGGTCTATTTTATAATTTATCCGATATAGCATTTGAAGAGTTACACTTATTAAAAGTCGGGAAATAATAATGTCTCAATGGCATTGGAATCACGACAGTGCTTCGGATAGATCGAGTGCAAAGAAGAGACCGTCCACGGGTATAGCTACACCGCAAAATAAATTCGAAAGATCTAGCAGAACAATAAAAAATGAATTGGGTGGATCGTACGTCGCTTCTGGAAATAATCGTCCTGCAACACCTGGTCAAAATGTTCTGGCAAGGCCACCATCAACATCAGTTTTGTTTAACCCAATACAAACTGACAGTTCACGATTAACCACATCATCGAGGAATTCTCCTCATTTAAACACAGGTCACATGAATATAAACATTATGGAAAGACCAATTACTCAGCATGGAGTAGCAGGTGTTAGACCCGGGACATGCAAAGGATTGTCGATGACAAGGTAAATTCATTTTGAGCTCAAAAATTAAGAGCACCGTAGTAATAAGTGATCAATAGTACCGATAGTTTCTGGCCCCTTCATTTTATAATTTTGAACTTTTATTTATAGACAAATTCAAGATAAGAGATATTACATTGGTATTATGCAACTAAAGATAAGGGAATTAAATCAAGAAATTTCCATTATTACAAAAGATATTGAATATCAAAATAAAGAAAAAGCCACCTACCTACATTATGATAAGAGAGCTAAAGATTTAGCAACAGAATTGACAGCTTTGCAAGGGCAGTTAGCAGACTATAATATCGTTGTAGATAAAATGACATCCGACGTTGGAAAGGAAGTCATTGATCAGGAAACTGAAGAATTGGCAACAAAGAACGAACAAAGTTTATTACAGATTGAAAATATGTTTGAAAAAAGGAAGGAATTGGAACAACAATTAAGTAGGATAGAAAAACAACTAGAGAACGAAAAGAAGAGAACAGAAAGGCTAATTGAAAGCATGGACTCGAATACAAGAGAGAAATATGATAAGCTGTTGAAAGAAAAAGCAAGTTTAGAAGAAAAAGCAAATAAAATGCAGCAAGAATTGGACGAGTTATACAAAGAGCAAATGTCTTTGGAGGAAGAAATAGCACTGTCTCCTTTAAAACAGGAAGCAGTTAAGTTACATCTTAAAATTCTAGAAATGGAAGAGAAAAGAGGAAAGCTACAGCAGGAAGAGAGGCACAGAATTTCGCCGGAAGAAGAAAAAGAAAAATTATTACACAAAATTAAGCAACACAATATAGACATCGCAGCTGCAGAAGCATTATTAACTGAGAAGAAGAAGCGTATTCAAGAAACAGAACAGGAACTTGAACAGTTGGAAACTGATATAGAGGACAACCAATCTGAAAAACAAATTAAATATAAAGAACTTCGTAAGCGAGAAGAAATCATGGAACAATTTATGTGTTCTTTCGAGCAAAATAAACAGGTTGAAACAAAAAAATTGTACGAACTAGAGACAACGGTAATCGAATATTTGAAGGATATTTCAAATATTCTGGATGTCGATGTAGATTTTGTAGGCGGCGATGAAATGGCTATATTGAATAGTGTATCTTCTCACAATGAATATAATAAGGATCAGAGTTTGGAAGGATTAAGGAAAGAAAATTTAAAGTCGCAGCAAATTTTAAGTAAAATGAAGATGTTAGAGCAGAAACTTAAAGTAGAATTTACTGACCTTAACGAAAAAATAAATAATAAAGAAAACAAATTAATGGTTTTAGAAGACGTAGACAGTCTAAAAACTAAATTGACAATACAAGAAAAACAGCTAACAGCAAAGTGTGATCAACTAAAAGAACAGCAATCAAAATATGAACAAGAACTCGAAGAAATTCTACTCGAATATAATGAAATAAAACAACATTTACAACGTAATGAAATATATGCTGAAATTAATACATTAGAGAGTACAGTAGAAAAGTTAACAGAAGAACATGAAAAAATTAGAAATTTTATTGTTAAGCTAAAGGAACGTGGCAACTATGGCCCAGTGAAAGAAAACACTTTTAGTTCAGTAACTAATTATAATATTATATTAAAAGAAAGTTTGAAAATAATTTATTAAATAAAATCGTTTTTTTGTAGTTCTTAATAAATACTATTATACTAGGTGTGATTCTCAATCACGCGATAGAATTGTAGTTGTGATCGACTCAGCCAATAATGGCAACGCGTGTAAGGCATGCGTCGCTATTACGCTACAGCCAATCAGCGTGCCTTGCCGCCAAGTCATCTCTCTCTGGTACTTGCGTGTCTAACGGAATAAATACCATAGCGTCGACAATGTACACGATGAACTAGACAATTCAATGGAAGTTTGCCTTTGATAAATTGCAATACCAGCCTTGTAAGTATAGTTTTATAGCGTACTCTGCGTTTAAAGACTATTTCGATAATATTTCGAGATACATAAATATACGCTCGCAACGATGAAAAATCTTTGACATGCATTTTCTATCTATCATGTGTAATATGTTACTATACGAACATAAATATTCATAGTCGTTGAGAACGTCTTTATTTCGTGATACTGACCTTGTACTTTCGGTAATAAGAGACGAGCGATGGTCGTAGTTCCGAGAAGGGCGGTAATTCCGGGAAAACACTTCAACAGAAAATGAACTTGTCGAAACTTGTCGAAGCCGGGCACGCTACGTTATAAGACGAAAGCAAATTTTACGAGGAACCGAAGCAACGCTCGTAAGTAATGTAAACAATAAACAAATAGATCAAAGTATTCGAAACATTTACAGGAAACCTAGTACATAAATGCTAGCACGAGTGTACCTCGTTTGTATTTCCTTTAATGCCGATAGCCAATAAAATGAAACGCGGACTATTCCAGAAAATGATACTTACATTTTCAAGAAAAAAAAAAACATTAAATCTAAAAAAATTTCTACAATAGCGCATTTCATGGAAAGGATAGTAATACAACGCAAATTGCGGTTTTGCTGTTTATAATTTTATTTTTACAATTTTGGTGCATTCGGGGAAAAATATTTTTTCTTTTTTTTTCAAGTAGATATTTAACGTCGCATCGACATCCAACTCATTAGCGACAGGTTTCTGTATTAGGTTTAAAATTTTGTATCATTTTTAGAACGTCGAATTATTTGGTGTTGAGAAATACATGATTGTTAATATTCATGAATTTTGAATATGCAACGTATAAGTACATTTATGAACGAAACCACCGGATATAATTCAGATCATAGTGAGCAAATAAATATATTCGATATAAAAAGTATGCACACACACACGCACGCACACGACACGCAAATTTGATAAAAACGTATCATAGAGTTAAATATGTAAAAAATGTAAAAAAAAACATGATTTATATTAATATAAATTGATAAATATGTAATAAATAAATAAGTAAATACTTGAGACACGGTCACGCACACGCAATATACATTACAGCATAAATATATATAAAAGTATGATGATAAGTACGATAACCTTATGGATTAAACGATTACACATTAAATTCATTCTGATAGATATTTCACACGCAAACCTTATGAAATAATTATTTGTTTCGATACACATCGTATTGTCTTTAAAATATATTTACATAAATGTACTATATCTTATACTCAATTCAATACAGTAGATTTCGTGAATAACTTACAAACGCGATCATGTTTTAGATTCGTAAACCTAATGTTTATGTACATTTTCTCGGATTCTCGTGAAGTTGTACAGTATAAACTCCCGTAGAATATCATAGACTAGATTTATTGATCATGGACTGAGATCGAGTACCCTACTAAGTTCACCAAGTGTAATTCAAGAGTTAAATTATGCAACAAATATTACGATATTAAAATATTTATTAAACACAGTCTGTACGTTTCTTTGTCGATCAATGAAATATTTTAAATGTATATGTTTTCATTTAATTAGTCTGCGTTATCTTTTGCCTCGTAAATTCTACACTTGGGTTAAACTGTTCGAGTTGATGTCCGTGATTTCGTTGACTAGAGGCCACTCTTAATAATACATTCTCATAGATCGATTATACTCATATCTTATTTGTCCATATTCGTGACTAGAATTTGTTATTATTTGGTAATCGTTGCACGTACGCAAGGAATACATTAATCATTAAATCTCCTTGAAATAAATTAAATTGATTTGAGATCGAGTTGGAATACCTGCTAAGACTAGATTTAATCGAGATACGTCCATAGGTGGCGCACGCGAAACTCCGCCGATAAATGTTGAATTAAATTTGATCGATTAAACGATTTAAATTCAGTTAATACGATATTTCTAATTACTAAACACAGCCCACTAATAATTACTTCTCAATTAATTCTTAAACGCTACATCTTTTTGTATTTATTTATTGGCCGTTTAATCCAACTCATAATGTCTTTTTTTTTTTTTTTTTTTTAGTTTACAAATTAATGGCAGTTTTATACGTGGTTCGTTAAAATCGTAATTCAATTTACAATAACTTAATTCTACGTAAGTAAGCTGCCAATGCGGACAATTCTCTCGTATAGACAAATATTTGAACAAATTCGGGTAACTGCTTAATTATCGGATCGTATAAGCGTAAATTAAAACAATCATAGCAATTAAAGTCCAGAAACGACGTAACTAGCCAATTTTTGTTGGTATCTCAATGATTTCAATGATGGATTGTAATTATAGAAAATTGATATTTTTTTTTAAGTTTTTTTTTTTTATATGAAAGTTATTAATTTTGTAACGTTCTATACGATCGTAACATTAAAATAAAATACTGGCACGTTTCCCAAAATGAAGGAAAAACATTATGTTTACATCTTACCGGTTAAGTGACTAGATTCATCCTATCGATAAAGAAGCTAATGAACGACTAGAATCTAGCGACATCTGGCGGTCGATTTTATGACTAAGGTACAGCGATTCTTCGAACTCTGCAGACAGAGTTGGTCAAATTTTGGTCACCAATAACGAATAGAAATGTTAGATTGATTCTTAAACTAATGAATTAGAATCTATTAACGAATATTTGTAACCAATATTCGGACGAGCAATGCTAGTTTACGAGTGAATCTTAACAGTTTTTATTCGTTATTTGGGAATAAAATGTTCCCAACCCTGGTTACAGATAAATGAATGTTATACTTTTTTAACTTACCTAATTTTTCTATGGCATCGTATCCACGGATAATTTTATTCTTACAATCATATACGATACTTTGAAATAAAAATCGAAATTGCATTTACTTGTGGCCTGCATATTAGTTGGTGAACATCAATTGATACAATTAGTGTATTTACCAATTAATTGAAAGTAACTAATTATTAAAACAGACTAGAAACACAAAGAAACGTTGTGAAAATATGTACATTATTGCTTGAACTTAGCGTTAAGCGAAATTAAATTAAATCCGTACCCGTCTATGTTAAATGTACGTGACTAGATGCGAAACTAGAATATTATATTTTACGACTAGATTATACTTTCTCTTTACTAATTTTTGATTTTGACTAGATCGTTACTTCTATAGTTTGACTAGATTCTTTACATTTATTTTTCTTTCGACTAGATTTCGTGTTTTGATTCTCAGACTGAACAGAAAATTCTCATCATTTTTTTTAGAATAATTCTAGCTGTATTTTTTGCAACAGTAAATTATAGTAAAAGCGTGATTGAAAACTTTTCTACAGTAATATTTCAATTAATCTAAAGTCTTAAATAAGAATAAATCTACGATTAGTGAAAATATTATTAACAAATGCAATCGAAGTTGGGTAAAATACTATTTTTACTTAAATTTAACAAAACCAAAATCGATTATATGGACTACTTTGACATTATTTTTTGTGCGATAGAAAAGAGCCGGAATTGTTTCTTATTCGAGTCATAACGAATTTATTATTTAAAATATTATTCTCTGTAAATTTTACCCAGCTCTGAGCACAACTAAAGCTAGAATCACCTATTCTAATCGTATATCTACATTCGTATTAATAAATAGTCGACTCAGAGTTGAAATCTCCATTGAAATTCTGATTTACTTTTCGTACTTAAATTTTGAAATAGATGCTAAACGAGCAGTGGACTTGAATTGATTGGCATACCGAGTCAGTGTCAGGATGAAGGTTGTAAGTTTCGGCGACCAATCTCTGCACAATCGTGGTTCCTTCGACGACAGATTTTCTGCATTTGGTAGATTATCTTTTAGGTGTCTTCGGTGATATAATTCTTTTGAGTCTCGAACAATAATATTGCCAACACGTTCGGATAGCGTTTATTTGGGTTCTTCTTCTTCTGTCAATTTTGTAACGCTGACTAGTACGAAACTTCGAAGGAAATTCTCATTCCCCGAGCTAGTGACTTGAGTAGCATTGTACTTTTAGCATCAGTACTCTACGTCTCTATCTCTCTCTCTCTCTTTCTCTCTCTTCGCCACTTTATCTTCCCTTTGTACAAGTTAAACGTACGTATTGCGTATGTACAGAATCTTCTTTATACAAGCCCTCCATGCCCGAGGACGACGGAGAATAGAACGTTACTCTTTCTCGCACTTTCCCGATCTCGACAACTCGACGATCTCACCGAGCAAGATCCCAACCGCGATTCGTCGACGAACGATCGAACGTGTACCGTCTATCGCGTACTGATTTGGTCTGTTGTACTCACGTCGATAGCGACAGGGTTGCGTCTTGGCATTTCCAACGTTCGATGGATCCATCTTCGGCGTCCCCCTCGACTCCGTTTCCGGTTTCGATTCGGTATTGGTACGAGAACGGTCCGGGTTCCGGTCCGACGATCGGCCTCTCTCGGTGATTTCAATTCGAACGTGTCGAATCGGGAAAGCAGGGCAGAAGGTCGTGGACCCTCGGAGATTGGATCGACTTCGCTCGAGCCGGGAAGGAAAAAGACGCAGGGAGAGGAAAGTAAAGCGCGGAAGAAGGGAAAAAAAGGAGCAAAAGGAAAATAAGGAGGAGAACGGAAAATGGAAAAACGTTCTCCGAGGGCCACGCAAGCGCACAGTCGCTCGCCTGCTTCCAGACTACCTCAAACTCCGCTGCTGCGCTCCAACTGCATATATCCCCCACTCTCCCCTACTCTGCCCCCACCACGTGCGCTCGGGCTTCAGCTGCGACGAGAGTACCCCAAATTGTCGCGTGCCCCACTTCCGTGGTTCCGTTTTTTCAAAGCCTCGCTTTGTATTCCCCACCGTTCCCTTCCCCTCCTCGCGGCTCGTCACGCCCTATAGAATCGCTTCCAGACGCCGTTCCGTTCTGGGATTCGCGAGCTACGCCCCACCACTCGGCCAATTTCCAAGATTTCCTCCCTTCTTGGCGCGTGCGCAGTCCCGTCCACCCTGTTACGCCATCACCGACCGTAACGTTATTGTGCCTCCGTCGCCGCGTAAGAGATTCACGGGGGATGAAGGGAGGAGGGGGTCGATTCTCTCGGGACTACGGGGGTTCCTTTCTGCGCGCGCCTAGATCTGGTATCCTTTCGGGGAACCACGTGTCGTCGCTTCTGCATTATCCGCGGTTCAAATGCTCAACCCTTCGGCGGTCCGAGACATCTTTTAATAGACACTCTTATTCCGCGTCAATTATACATTTTAAGGGCAAGTCTCGATTCAAAAGCTGTTCTAATACCTGCAATCAGGATTGGTTCCAATTTGAGGGGGTCTTCCAAGCAAAGTAGACAAATTCTTCCTGAATTTTTTCAGTCGCTTTGATGTTTATCTTACGTACACATTTTTCTTTGGTACAAAATAGTAGCAGGCTGTTCAGAGAAGGAGGCCCAAATGTCTCGTCGTATAAATCTATCACAGTTTGTAGTGTGCTTGTGTCTGTGTGTCATAGGAAAGTGGTTCACACCCTTCCTGGTAGAATCGCGGCACATACCGCGCATACCTCATTCTCGAACCCTCCTTTGGTCGCCCATTATATTCGATTGCGAAATACCGACTTAGGCTACCTTAAACTATTTTGTATTATACAGGCTGTGCCACCGATGATGATCATCTCGAATAACTGGTGAACAGTACGTTACGAAATTGTTGGACGAAACACACGGTATAGTGGTAATTGCCTCCTAACACATTGACTGCCACGTCACCCACATTTGGGTGACATTGTTTTTCACTAAGGAGCTAAAAAGATTCATTCTCAAGATTAAATGTTGAAGAAACTAAATCTAAATATGACTCTTGAATTTTAACGAGACTTTAAAAATAAGTTTTATGACAAATTATGGTTATGCTAGTTTCCAATTGTCTAGAAACAAAGGTTTGTT